TGTTGGATAATAATGGATAAAACCCTGAAGGTGAGTAGTAACATTGACTTGGTTAGTTGTTGAAGAATAATGGATAAAACCCTGAAGGTGAGTAATAACATTGACTTTGTTATTTGGATATTAATGGGTAAAACCCTGAAGGTGAGTAGTAACATTGACTTGTTTAGTTGCTGGATAATAATGGCTAAAACCCTTGACTTGGTTCGTTGTTGGAGTTCTTATTTAGGCAAGCAGAATGATTGTAGCATCTTTGGAGAAGGTTCATATCTTTAAATACTTACATGCACATACCACAGGTTTTAGTACAGGAGATAATGAAAAATGTTGATCTTAACTAAAAAAGTAGGTTGGTAGAATAGTATTTTTAAAAGGTTTTTTTTTCCCCAATGACAGCTGCAGGAGAGGAATCAATAGTTTGTGTGTGTGTGTGTGTGTGTGTGTGCAGGGGTGGAGGGGAGGGGAGGGAATGGAGTTCCTCAGGAGGGGTGCAGCCCTAGAGAGGTCTTGAAAGCGAGGTGGGAGTATGAACAGAGGATAGACATAGGTCTTCGGCAGAGTGTAGGGGCTTATACAGGACATACTTGTGCATTAGGGAGGATTGATAGATTGGAGCAGCATTATGTAGAGCTTTGTAATTAAGAACCAAGATGTAAATTTATTTTAAAGTATAAAACTTAACACTTTTTTTTTTAATAAAACCAGTCAAAGAAAATTGTGAACTTTAACTTTAAGATCTTTGATGTGAAAATATGTGTCTTGTATTTTACCTTAAATATATCTTAATATTTGAACCCTTGTGTGTATTTAAAGGGTCAGCAAATAAAAACAATAAATTCATGGAAACATTGAAGCAAACATTCAATAACTGTAACATAAATACATTTAAATGATAAAAATGTCCTTGTTAATGCTATTCTGCTCTTCTTAATATTATTTGGTTCACATATTCTCTCCATAAAAGGCCCTGGTCTAACACATTTTAGACATAAAGCAATTCTGGAATGTCACTGTGGGCTGCTTAATAATGAACAAAGCAATGGTAAAAATCAATGTTAAGGCAGGATGATTGCCAATAAAGTGAAGCATGATTTGAGTCTTTTAAAAAACGATCAAAGCTATGAGGCAAATGAGACTAATATGCATTCTTTAAACATACTGGTATGTCAGGCGTGCTGTGCATCAGAATTTCTCTTATTTTGGGAAAGTTTTTTTTTTTTTAGGGAAATACATGAATTATAACAGACATGCCATAAAAACTACTTTGATTTATGCTAGGTTTGTCAAAACACAACAGCTGCCAAACCATGGAAGCATGACTTTATCTTAATTGCACACAAATCTAAACACAAGTATATATAGGAATAATCCTTCATTCCAGAATAATGTATACTGCATCACGTATGTGTTTGTCCAGGCAGTGTTTACAAGTACACCCTTCTCTCTGGCATTAATTGAAAGGTCCCGGTAATATTTAAGCTAGTCCTAGCTCCAGATCGGCAAGAATCCATGCTCTGTTACCATAACAGGGGTATGTATCAAACGATTAATGGACAGATTAAAAAGTTGGAGTTCATATTTCTGCCCTCTACATCCTAACCCTCCAATCGTAACCCATATGTCAGCTCCAAAAGGGGTGGAACAATCATATACTTATCAGGTGGAAGGAAAAAGGTGAAATGAATCCAATTGATCGTATAATATTCGTAAATAACTACAATCTGAGTCACTCTGTAAAGTTAGGTACTAAATCACCTGACTCCAAAATGGGAAGATGCTTTATATTGCATTCGATCACATTTACAGGAGGATAAATGTGGGCACAGCCTTGATAATAAAAATAAGTAATTATTCAGCTCATACAGGTAAGGGCATTGCCAGTATAACTGTATATAAAGAGGACATACAGGTAACAATGTATGAAGTCGATAACTGATCAAACAAGGTCCAAGCGGACATATTCTATTTGGTTTGGGCCTTGATGGTTACATAAAACACTATACAGCACTATTGACGAGTGTGACAACAAATAAAAAGACACTCTTGTTGATTATATTGAGATTAGAGCTGAAAACGTTGGATGTTCAACTATATTTAAGATTAGAATATTCTACTCAATTATATCCCACACAATATACACTCCATGCCAACCATGGTCCTGAACTTATAAAGTATGTGCAATATTTACAAAAATCTAATCAAATTAATAGATCACTACTATAAAGTAAATTGCAGGTTCTACTGTGTCAAAGGATAATACTAATAAGGAAACATGAAGGAGGTAAAGAAAAAACCTTAATAAGTCCATACGATGATCAAGTTTTTTTTTTTTTTTAATTCTTTATTTGTAGGTTTTTCTTTTGGAATCGGGGGGTGGTACAGAAAAGAAAAAAGGGGGGGGGGGGGGTGTAAGTCAGGACATAACATTATGTGAAAACAAATTTTGGTACCAACGCAGGGTACTATTAGACGTTTGAGGAAGTGTACATTTGTACCGGTATCGTGTGCTTTTGAGACAGTTGTTTAATACTTCTGCTGTTTTTGAGTTCCCACCGGTGAGTTTAGTCGTTCCTCAAGTTGTTGTTAGTCCTGTTTGTCCATACGTAGGTTTATGTCTGTTTAGGTCAGGGCATGGGTTAGGGTGTGTGTTGTGGGACGGGGTAGTTTGGGGGTAGGGGGTATGTGTCGCGGCCCGCATGCCATCCCCCGCGGCAGTCCCAGTTGGGGATCTTGGGTTGGCGTTTGTGTGTGGGGGGATTGATTTAGCAGTGTTCTTGTGTGAGGTTGTATGTGTCGTTATCTTTAGTGGTCTGTAGGTGGGATGTGCGGTGTCTGCTTCTGTCGTGTTACCATGGGATGGTCGTGTCCCCCTCCAGCCATGGGTCCCATATTTTATGAAATCTCTTGGGTGAGTCGTGAAGTTGTGCTGTGAGTTTATCCATCTGCATGCTATCTTCTATTTTCTTAGTAATCGTGTCCTGTGTTGGTATGCGGTTTGTTGACCAGACTTCCGCTATAGCTCGTCTTGTTGCTAGGGCTATGCGGGCGGCGAGCTTATTTTCTGCTCTAGTGTATTGGTCTATTGGTTTAGATAGCAGGAGCATCCAGGGGTCTTGAGGGCAAGGTTTGTTTAGGAGTTTAGAGATCAGTCGTGTGATGTCATGCCATAGTGGCTGGAGCTTCGGGCACTTCCACCAACAGTGGAGGAACGTTCCTGTCTCCCCGCACTGCTTCCAGTAGGTGTTGGGTGGGATGTGGTGCATAATGGCCAGGCGTTGGAGGGTGAGATACCATCTAAATAACATCTTGTAGGCTTGTTCTGTGTGAGTCATATGCCTCCCATATGTCTGACCAGTCTGTCGCTTCGTCTGGGGGCCCGAGGTCTGCTTCCCACGCCGCAATATATGGGAGAGATAGTTGTGTGTGGTGGGCAGCTATGGTTGTATATATGTCGGAAATTTGTCCTTGCCTGTTGGGGTGCATTGCACAGTCTTTTTCGAAGCGTTTAAGCTGGGCCGTGCCAGCTTGTTTTATGATTGGGGTCGCTGCGAAGCTGCGCAGTTGTATGTAGCGAAAGTAGTCGAATGTCGTGAGTGAGGATGAGTCTTGGATATCTGTGAATTGTATGATGTCGTTGTTTTGGTATAAGTGCCCTAGTCGGGAAATGTCCCTGTTTTTGAATTGGGCGAAATGCTTGGGAGTGAGTCCCGGTGGGAAGAGTTTGTTCCTCCAGATGGGGGTCATGGGGGATAGGAACGACGAAAGTTCGAATTTGTCTCTCGTTTTGTCCCATGTGTCGAGTGCGTGGGTGATCGAGGGTGCGGTTGGGGGTGTGGGGAATCTTTATGGGATAATAATAGTAAACAGTTGAGAATTGCCCACTAATTCAATTCTCAGATCCCATAGAACGTTTATCGTGTTAAGTGAGAAGTATTTCATATAATAATATCACAATTTTGTTATAAAAATAGATTTATTTTATAATAACAAGTTAATTAATAATAATATGTAACATGCGTGACAATGATCAATGAATATCAAGTATAAAATGGTATGCAATACAAAGGAATGGCTATACACGTATCAATGGCTAAACAGCATTTTCTGTCAAGTCTTACACGATTTATGAGGTATCCTTAACACAGACTGAAAGTGAAGCTTTTCACAGCGAAGGGCCATAAAACCCTGGCTAACAGTTAGAATAACCCTTTCAATGCTGGCTAGACCTCCTAGGTAATTAAGATCTATTCTTATGTAATTTTAAATAAAATAAAATTTAAACCATTTCATTAGTCATTTCCTGGAACCATCCAATAAGAGAATCTACCATGATTATATAAGCAGATTTTAATTTGTCTAAAAGATATCTTATCTTAATTTAGAGCAAATCAATACACCTGGATAAAAACAGCGGTATGCTAACACGTGATAATATCACCTTAATATATAATTATTCTTAATTCCACCTGCAGAATGGAATGTTTATAACTATATATTCTTTAGTTAACTAAGATTTCTTAATATGGAAATCTGACCGTGCTTTATCCAGTCATATATAATGCTATTAATACATTTTAATTAATTTAATTAATTAAATGAAACCAGTATAATTACCAGTTGAGTAGATATTTCATCCGATTGGTAGATAGTCTCAGGAACTTATTTGGATGTCTCTCTGCATGGAGGTGTGTAGGAATTTGTGTGTCCTAGAGTGTCATTGCTCCCCACTGCTCACTTCTTTGCTTTCTTTGCATCTCCTTCGCATACCTCGTCTCTGTTTCCTCTTCTCAACCCTTTGTCCTAACTTTTAAAGGGCCAGACTCTCTGTACGTCATCAGTTGATAACCCAATAGAAGTACTAGAGGTGTGCTTATCTTTCAGATCGCAATTTAGGTATTTGGTCTATAGAGGGCAGTCTTGTCCCACTAAACATACCTATCCAGGAAATAGTTAACTTTTCTTGGTGGCTATTTTGATGTCATTTTGGCCTATCTTGATAGTGGCTATAACTTACATTTGCTGTCAGATAAAAACAGTTTCTTTAAGTTTTGTCCAGACTATGTGTCTGGCAAATCTGAGTTTTGACCCATAACTTACAATGGGACCTTATACATGTAGACAGTAAAATTAAATTATTTAATCTTCTCTGTCACAAATGTCTGGGTTTAGATTTGATCTATTCCATTAGCATTAGACAGTCTATCCAACCCCCGTTCTCCTTATCACTTGGTTTGTTTATACTATGCATTCCTTTAGCTCTGGCAAAGTGGTTAGTTTTACAGATAGAAATCTTGTGTCTTTTTGTTAACTTGGGAATAACAAAATGGAGTCTGCTCTGTTCAAAGTGACTCAGAATATACACTTTTAATTTCTATCATAGCACAAGATGTCTGCCGTTATAAATACCCTGACAGGGGGGGTAGGGGTCGATGTGGTTTGGGTATCCACATGTACAAGGACGGGTGGTCCCGGCCAAAGATAATGTGTTCCAGATCTACCCATCTTTTTTCCCCCGGTGGAACGTGCCATTGTTTTATCTGCGATAAATGTGCCGCCGTGTGGTAGTGGGTAAAGTGCGGGAGCCCCAGTCCCCCATGATTTTTGGGTATGTATAGTGTGTTTCGGCGTACTCTGGGTTTGTGTCCATTCCAGATGAATTGGTCTATGGCTGTTTGTAGTGCCTTAAAGTCTGGTTTATGGATCGGTATGGGGAGGGTTTGATATAGATATAAGAATCTGGGTAGGAGATTCATTTTGATTGTGGCGATGCGCCCCAGCCATGAAACCCCTAGGGGCTTCCATTTAGTGAGGTCTGAGTGGGCTTTTTGTAATAAGGGAGTGTAGTTTGTTTTGTAAAGGGTGGTGACGTCCGCTGGGAGTTGGATCCCGAGGTATGTCATTGTTGTGTGGCAAATCCTCATCAGGCATATTTGTTTAAGCGTGGCTAGGTTTGGAGTGTCTATCGGGAGGAACTCTGATTTATTCAGGTTGATCTTGTACCCTGACAAGTCTGAGTATTCTTGGATAAGAGTTAGGAGCGAGTTTATAGATTTTTCTGGATTTGTCAATGTTAGCAGGATGTCATCTGCATAAGCCGAGATTTTAAAGGTTTCTCCCCTGATCGTTAGCCCCTCTATGTCATGGCTGGTACGCACCGCCTGCAACAAAGGTTCTAGTGATATGGCGAATAGTAGGGGGGATAAAGGGCACCCCTGTCTCGTGCCGTTTGAGATGGGGAACCGTGGTGGGGGGATATTGGGTAGTAGGAGTGCCCCTTGGGGAGAGAGATAGATGGCATGTAAGAATGAGGTAAATTCGGATGGCATCCCTATGTGTGTTAGCGTGTGATAGAGGAACGGCCAGAGCAAGCGATCAAACGCTTTTTCCGCGTCCAGTGAGATGATCGCTGTAGGGATCCGTCTGTGGTTGGCCAACCATATGAGATCTATGGCTCTCTGGGTGTTGTCCGCAGCTTGCCTGTGTGGGATAAATCCCACTTGGTCTGGGTGTATGAGGGATTTTAGGTATGGGTTTAAGCGGTTGGCCATGATTTTGTTCATGATTTTAAGGTCCACGTTGAGGAGGGAAATTGGCCTGTAGTGTGCGGGTTCTGAGTGATCTTTTCCGGGTTTGGGGAGGAGGCAGATGTTTGCCCCGGTCATTTCTGGTGGGAGGTTCTCTCCCTTGAGTGCTGCGTTAAAGACCACGCATAGATGTGTAAAGAGCAGTGGGCCGAATTCTTTGTAATATAGGGCTGTGTAGCCGTCCGGTCCTGGGCTTTTATTTGGTTTAAGGGATCCCACTGCCATGGTCATTTCTTCTGTCGTGACTTCTTGGCTCAGGACTGCTTGGGCTTCTTGCGTTAGGATGGGTAGCGTCGTGCCTTGTAAGAATGTGTCTATGCGTGAGGACAGTGGTGGTCTGGTGTCATGGGGTCGGTGATCATGGTTATAGAGGTCCGTGTAATAGTCTTGGAAGACTTTCCCTATGCTAGTTGGGCAGTCTGTAAATGTGCCGTCGTTCGAGTGTATCTTTGTGATGCGTTTAGCTTCGTTTTTTAAGTCTGCGGGCAAGCATGGTGTCCGCTTTGTTGCTCTTTTCATAATATTTTTGTTTGAGCCACATCAGAGCTTTGGCTGTGTCTGCTTGTGTGAGGGTGTTAAGGAGGTTTCTGGTCTCCTTAAGTTTGGACAGGGTGGTCGGGTTAGGGTTCTTTTTGTGTTCCGTTTCCAGACGGCGGAGTTCTGACATCGTTTCTAGTATCTGTCGTTGTGCTTGTTTTTTTTTGTGGGTAGCTAGGTTGATGAGTGTGCCTCTGATTACTGCTTTATGTGCTGTCCAGAGGGTCATAGGTGAAGTCGTTGTGGGTGAGTTCAGTTCAAAATACTTGCTATGGCTATTTTGTCTCTAATCAGTTGATCATGAAGGAGTATCGGGTTCAGTTGCCATGACCAGTGTGTGTGTATGGTTGGTAGGTTTAGAGTGATTGCTATCTCAGCATGGTCGGACCAGGAAATTGGTCCAATCTCCGATTTGGTGATTTGAGATAGTACGTTTGGTGAGATGAGAAAGTGGTCAATGCGTGAGTAGGATCCGTGTGGGTGGGAGTAGAAGGTGTAGTCTTTGGTGGTCGGGTGTTGTGCCCTCCATATGTCGATCAGTTTGTGTGAGGCCAGGAATTGGGTGAAGAGGGTGTCGTTTTGGCTTGGGCGAGTTCGTGTTTTGGTGCTCGAAGTCCTATCTATGGCGGGCATGTGTACTGCATTGCATTCCCCACCCACTATAAGTCGTGTAGCTGAGTACGTGTTAAGGTGGGCCGCTAACTGTTGCCAGAAAGTTGCGTCTGGTGTTGTGGGCGCGTAGAGCGATGAAAAGGCGTATTGTGTTGCGCCTATTTTTCCCCATATTGTGATGTATCTACCCTGTGGGTCTTTAGAGCAGGTAATGTCTGTGAGGGGGCTGTTTGCTCTCAGGAGGATTGCTACACCTTTGTTCTTGGTGTCCGGGGAAGGGGCATGGAAGCTCTGTGTATAGTATCTATTAGTGAGGGGGAACATGCGGTGGATTGTGAAGTGGGTTTCCTGTATGAGGACTATGTCAGCTTGTTGTTTGTGTGCCCAGCGTAGAATGCCGTGCCTCTTGTTGGGGGAGTTCAGCCCTTTGGCGTTGATGGAGATGCAGCGTATTTGTGTAGGCCTGGTGTCAGTAGAAGTGTGGTGGTCTCTGAGGGTTTGTGGTGATGGGTTACCCTGGGATGCGCATCCGGATGGCTGCGGGCCGCGAGGGGTGGGGGGAGGGGGAGGGCGGGGTGGATGTGGTTGTTAGCCTGGGTTAAGGTAGTGGAAGGGGGGTATGGGGTAGAGTGTACTGGGCTTATCCAAGGGCCAGTAGGTTGTGGGGCGAAGCGTCCAACCGCTCCGTGGGTTTCTTCGCAAGGTCGGTTAGGTGTGCGTCGGGGGTTGGCGACCGTCCGGTCAGGGCCGTCCAAAGGCAGTTTTCAGTAGTCGTCCGCGGTACCGTGTGTACTGTGGTCAGTCATCGTTTCGGTGTCGCTGCGTCCGTGAGGTTAGCCCTCTACGTGTCGTGATGTGTGGTTGCAGGGTCGTACCTTGTGAGCCCGTGGGGTGTGGATCTGGTTGTTGGTGGGTCTAATTTTGGTTCAGTGGTGAGGGTGTTCTGTCACCGTCCAGTCTTAGGGTGTCGGCGTGGTGTCGTCCGCTGTAAGTGACGTCCGTCAGCATGTGAGGTGGGGTGGGGTGTGTCGGTTAGCTGAAAAACAATGAGTAACAGTTTTACATTGTAACATAACAGTTTAACATCAACTTCAATCTAGTTATGTACAGTTCCTCCACCTTAGTGTCTGGAGGTTCCCTTTTTTCGTGTCTCCCCCTGTGGTGTCTCTCCGTGGGGATTCTTTGAGGGTCCCTGGGCTGGGTGTCTGAGGGAATGGGGGGGCTGATTTGTAACTATACCCCCACGGCCCCTCGGTTACCCGTTGACTTCTCCTTGTAGTTCGTGTAGGTTAGTGTGTATCCCTCCCTGCACTGGTCCGCTAAACTCCTTTGTGGTGTCCCGGTTTGCATTGTTCCCTAGGGGTTGCATGAGCTCAGGGTGTGCCTGTCTAAATCCTTCCAGTTCCCAGGGCGTATCGTTTGCGCTTAGCCTCTCTAGTGCTATTGGTGTTGTCACCTATTTTCTATGTGAAGGGTGTGTCCGCGTCCCCCGGGTCCCAGATGATCAGGGCCGGACTGGGGATTCCAAAGCAGCCCTGGAAAAAAAATCTATGCCAGCCCCATAAGTCATTGCGCCATGTATTGTCGCATGTAATATGTAAGGCTATGTCTTGCCACCCTAGATGATTGAGATATATATATATATATATATATATATTTTTTTTTTTTTCCAATATAAAATATTGGTCCTTTCAGAGTAAAATCTTTAATTATATAGTAAGCATACTCACATGCAGACACAGACAATCTCACTGACACAAGCTGATTGATACACAGCCTCATAGACAAACAATCTCACTGATATACATAAGGTCATTAAAATAAAAACACAAGCTCACTCAGTAGCAGGCACACACACACACACACACACAGCAAGCCCACTCACTAGCAGGCGCGCACACACACACAGCTTAATGTAGTGGCTCTGGTGTCTATAGCCTGTCCCTGCAGGCTTTTCAATGTAAACACTGACTTTTTAGAGAAAAGGCAGTGTTTACATTGCTTCCTAGTGACAGACACTCAGACGGTCACTAGAGGTGCTTCCTGTGTCAGTGCGGATTGGCTGAGATCATCAAGCTTGATGATCTCAGCCGTAGAGGCAGGGCCAGTTGAGGGGAGACCAGCACGACGTGGGGGAAAAAAAAGGTGAGTAAAAACACACATACACACACACATACCATGACAGACACACACCGTGACACAGACAGAAACACAGACAGACAGACACACCATGACACAGACAGACACACACATACCATGACAGAGACACACACATACCATGACAGACACACCTTAAAAAAGACACACACACCTTGACACACACACCATAACACAGACCTTGACACAGACACATACACGACACAGACAGACACAGAAAGATCGTGACACAGACACACACACACACATTACATGACAGAGACAGACACACACCATGACAAACACACACACCATGACAAACACACACACACCATGACACAGA